ATGCCCCTGTGCCTGTGGATCTACAGCTGGGCTTGGATCAACACCCCTATCGTGCAGTTACTACCGCTAGGGACCGTGACCCTGACTCTCTGCAGCACTCTCATCCCTATCGGGTTGGGCGTCTTCATTCGCTACAAATACAACCGGGTGGCTGACTATGTCGTGAAGGTAAGGCCCTTCTTCCCTTTCCATACTAGCGTGGAGAGCCCTTGATCTCTGACCCACAGCATAAATGTGAGGAAGTTTGAAGAAGGGAAAGGAAGAAAAGGATTTGGAAGTAGTTGCCTGGATAAAATTTTTTAAAAAAGTTTATGCTACAAAGTTAACTTCCAGTTTTGGGATTCCTAGAACAATAATTAAGACACAGCTTAATCAAAACCAGCATAAAAGAACTATCAGTACTCATCTGGAGGAAACAGATCATAGCAGGGTGAGGAAGATGACAGTGTAATCAAATGGCAACATATTTTCCACTAATTGTAGATAATTAAAAATCAAACAGATTAAATAATTTTAATAGAATTGGTGCGGAGTTTTAGAAATGCATGACTATCTTTTCAAAAGTGGAACTCTAATTCTGAGAAACTCTATTGTAGGTTCCTTTAATGTTTTATTAAATTTTAAAAGTAAGTTGATAATAATGGGACAAAAAGTAATGGAAAAGTTGCATTGTAGCAATAGAACACAAAATACTGGCTTTAAAGCACAAAATAAAAGTTGGGTCCTGGATAATGGAGGCTAAATTACTCTTACTAAATGTGTTTCTTTTTTCTTCCCCATTGCAATATTTTATATGGTCTCTAAAGTTAGTGAAAAAATGAGGGATTTCTATAATTTATGCAGTATTTCTAATATTTCCCCTACGAGTTTGATTTTTTTTTTTAAATGAATGCTTTCTGTAGCAGTAGAGATTTTCTAGTAGTTCACTAGAGAATTTTCTTTGAAAATTCAAGAAGAGCAGTGAAAAAGAATAAGCCATGACAGGATACTGACTTCAGGTAATTAGTCAAATAAAATACATAATTATTCCTGCAAAACGCACGAATTCCTTTAGACAAATGAAGAGAAAAAGAGCCACCTTAATGCTTCAATTATGTAGATTTAAGAAGACACAATCTTCTGTGTTACTTATATTATTTTCTAAAGTAATCTGATTATATAGAGGAGTCAGCTTTTATTACTATGAAAAGTAGAGAGTTGTTTTCTGTACATATATCCAGCCTTGAGTAAAAGAAATCCTGCTCCATAATAAACATGTGTATGTGAATGTAAAAATATATATGTACATGTAAATACACATATATTTATCCATGTTATATCCAATATACTCATAGATACTCTTGAGTTGCATTAATAACTTGTTAATCATTAAGCTAATGCTATTAATATGATGGCATTTACTATAAAACCTTAGGAAGTCTAAGAGAAAGTCAATCAAATGACCTATTTACACACCAAAAACAGAAAAGATGTAGTCAATAGACAGATCAATAAGATTAGCTACCTTTGAATTTAAAGTTAACCTAGCCCTATTCTTTAATTAGAACACTGTTAAGAAACAGCTTCTTAATGCTTTCAATGTGTCATACTTTGAAACAGTAAGTTTTTACATGTAATAGCTTGGTTTCTGCCAATTGTACATCTGTAGTATCTGTACCTTATATAAGTATTGCAGCATCCTCTAGGGTAGAATCTGTGACCAGCTCAGATAAATTTTAAATGCTTTAAGAGTGTAAAGTAATGCCAGTCTCACAGATTGCAAAAGGGATGTCTCCGCTATCCAGGGAACCAGGAGCAACATTTAAGCTGTTCTCTCTGGATCAGTTTCCTTCCCCTGCCCACTCCTCATTAAAAAAATTAAAAAAAAAAAAAGTTAACTACCAATATGAAGGAGAACTAGGAGAAGAATTTTTAGGTATCTGCCTTACTATTCATATTCATACAGCCTGTTTTATTTGAATGAGTGAAATGTACTAGTCAGAACATCAAGACAACATGTTTTATACAAAAGACAGTTGTACTGTATCTAAAATTCATCTATTATAATAGTCCCAAAGCATCATAAAAGACTCACAGATGAGAGGTTTCTCATGAACAAATGAAAAAAAAGTTGCCAAGTTGCAAAGAAGTCTTCACATCTTTATTTACATTTTTTTCTCTTACATAATCTAACAGTAGGTAATTGTTTCAATATTGCAAACAATCCTCTGCAATATATTTTGAGGGTTAAAAACATCACACACTGAGCTTCAGACATTTTAATTAAGTTTCACAAATTTTAACTCCTGTAAAATAAGAACTAATTTTTTATGGAAAACATGGGGTTCTGTTCAGGGAAAGTAAATATCTATTTGTCTGCTCTAATGATCAGACCATACCTGGGGTATGGGCTCAGTTCTAACTGCCCGATTTTTAAGAGGCACATTCACAAATGAAACACATGCTTAGAACAGTCAGGACACCAAAACAAAGTTACGTGATGGAGGCTTTAAGTCTGGGCACAATCTGCCTGGAGAAGAGTAGCCTTCACCTGATAACCGGTGTCTAAGCTTTTGAAGAGCTTTTTCAGAAAAGCTTTTTCTTTTTTTGAAATGGAGTCTCACTGTGTCACCCAGGCTGTAGTGCAGCGGCATGATCTTGGCTCACTGCAACCTCCACCTCCCAGGTTCAAGCAATTCTGTGCCTCAGCCTCCCGAGTAGCTGGGATTATGGGTGCTTACCACCACGCCCGGCTAATTTTTGTATTTTTAGTAGAGATGGGGTTTTACCATCTTGGCCAGGCTGATCTTGAACTCCTGACCTCATGAATTTCCCTCCTCAGCCTCCCAAAGTGCTGGGATTCCACTGCACCCAGACAGAAAGCTGTTTTTTTTTGTTTGTTTGTTTTTGTTTTTTTTTTGAAGAACTGGTCTTCATTGTTCCTAACAGCCTATATCCAAGTCAATGGCTAGAGGTTATAGAAGGCAGACTGTCCCTCATCATAAGGACAGGCCTCCAAACAATCAGAGGTGCCCAACATGGCTCTGGATGCTTCCCAAGGAGGTGGCCTGCCCATCTTCAGAAATATTCTGTCAAAGGTCTGCATTTTGTGTTGGAGATGATACTAGATGGTTGTTTTCTTCCATGAGCTTAGGATTCTCTCACCTGAATTCCTCTTCAACCATCTCATTGTAATTTTCTATTACTAGGTTTCCCTGTGGTCTCTGCTAGTGACTCTGGTGGTCCTTTTCATAATGACCGGCACTATGTTAGGACCTGAACTGCTGGCAAGTATCCCGGCTGCTGTTTATGTGGTAGCAATTTTTATGCCTTTGGCAGGCTACGCTTCAGGCTACGGCTTAGCTACTCTCTTCCATCTTCCACCCAACTGCAAGCGGACTGTATGTCTGGAAACAGGTAGTCAGAATGTGCAGCTCTGTACTGCCATTCTAAAACTGGCCTTTCCACCGCAATTCATAGGAAGCATGTATATGTTTCCCTTGCTCTACGCCCTTTTCCAGTCAGCAGAAGCAGGGATTTTTGTTTTAATCTATAAAATGTATGGAAGTGAAACGCTGCACAAGCGAGATCCTCTAGATGAAGATGAAGATACAGATATTTCCTATAAAAAACTAAAAGAAGAGGAAATGGCAGACACTTCCTATGGCGCAGTGAAAGCAGATAACGTAATAATGATGGAAACTGCTCAGACTTCTCTCTAAATGTGGAGATACACAGCAGCTTCTATCTTGCTGAAATATTGCTTCATATTTATGGCCTGTGGTAGTGCACCTGGTTAACATAAAGAATAACAACTGGTTCACATTATCATACATGTAACAATTCTCATCTTTTCATTTTAAGGTTCATTTGTGTATTAACCAAGCATTGTCACAAATTACAAATCAATGCTGTAATATAATTTGCACCTGGGATGGCTAACGTGCAGCCTGAACTAGTTAAATGTGCTTTTTAGTTTTTTCCATCGCCAATCTCTATGATGTTGCAAATACAGAAACTATTAGAAAACAGGGTATTGGAAATGTAGAATTTTGCGCACTATCTTAGAAGTAAAAACTAGCTATCTTTGTAAAGCATATTGAGTTTAATGTAATTGTTGTAAAAACAAAAATGTGTGCTTTCTCTTTAAATTCCTGATAACGTTGAACTTTGACCTGTATTCAGAAAAAATTCCAAAACAGGTCACTTAAATAAGGAAATATAGTATTTGTCAAACCAGTATCAGAGAAAAGTTACATTAATATATTTGATTACTTGATCTGATATCTATTTGTTAGTGATGAACAATCAACATTTTTCTAGTGGACAAGCCATGTTTTTTTTTTTTTTGGATTGGTCTTCTGCATTTATGTAAACACATCCCAAATCAATTTATGTTTTGGAGAAATGATTTGGTTGGGAAATTTTCCAGAACCACTCTGGAGCAAAGCAAAACGGTACCTTCTGGCCACCACTGGGGCTGGGGGAAGGGACGCGCTCCAGGGGAGAAAACAATTAGCCTAGATGAAGATGCCGGGGTGGTTCTCCGTGCACTCGCCGAGGGAGCTCAGTGGGTAGCCTCTCAGAGCAGCTCTGAGATAAACTGTCATCCGAGTTAATGGGTGACAGACCCAGAACAGTTCCTAAACCTTGGCACTTTCGCTCACTAGCCAGAGGCACCCGGCCTGGCCTCTGCGTCCCCGGGCGCAGGCACCTGTAACAATCAGGGCTCGGGAGTAGCCGGCTCAGCTGAAGCCAGTGATGAGTTTCTCTCGTTGAAAACCTCCTCACCTCGGGCGCCTTGGTTCCCTTACAAATCAGCCCTTTCACCGCAAAGAAAGCCCTGTTTGCAGATCATCTAAGGGTCACTGTGCTAACATCCGGGTGTGGAGAGAGAGATTCCATAGGGAGAAGGACGGAGAGGGGCCCCCTCGGCGGGGACTCGGGGACACGAGCCGGTGGCTGGAAGGGCGCGGAGGGCGGTACAGCGCGCGAGTCCCAGCCGAGGGCCGTGTCCGCCTCCGCCGGGCCGCCGGAGGGAGTCGCCTATTTAGGGTGCAGCGGCGGGTGGGAGCGGTGCGCCCATGGCGGCCCTGGGGGACGAGGTGCTGGATGGTTACGTGTTCCCAGCGTGCGCCCCCTGCTCGTACCCGTACCCCAACCCGGCGGCCACCAAGGGCAGGAGCGCGGCGGGCGGCAGCTGGCAGCACCGCGGCGGGGGCTGCCTTCCCGCCTCCTCGACCTCCTCCCCATTCTCGGCGGGCGCGGCCTCATCTTCCTTCCCCGGCTGCAGGCAGCTGACGGCCGCCGAGTACTTCGACAGCTACCAGCGGGCGCAGCTCATGGCACTCCTGGCGCAGGTGGGGCCTGGCCTCGGGCGGCGCGCCCGCGCCCGCAGGGTCTGCAGCTGCGACGTGGCAGTGCAGGTGAGCCCGCGCGTCGACGCTGCGGTGCAGTGCTCGCTGGGGAGGCGCACGCTGCAGCGCCGGGCCCGCGACCCCCAGTCCCCGGCCGGCCCCGGTACGGAGGGCACAACCGGCGGCGGCTCTCCCTCCCAGCTGCCGGCCCGCCGGGGCCCAGAGCAGGGCAGCCCCCTGAGCGGCGCCCCGCGGCCCGTGCGCTTTCCCCGCACCGTCGCGGTGTACTCGTCCGTGGCCTCACGCCGCGTCACCGCCTTCCTGAGGGGACCCGGGCCCAGGGCCGCGGCGGGGGAGCAGAGATCGCCGCCCGTGCGACTTCAAGGCCCAGAGGAGGGAGAGGCGTCGGCGAGCAAAGTGCCCCGACCGCCGCAGTCCGAGGACGACGAGGACGACGGCGAGGTCCAGGCCGCGGTCCGGACGAGCGGGGAGCTGCCGGCCGACGGCGCCGGGCTGCCGCCGCCGGAGGCCCAGGAGGGCTCGGCGGCTCGGGGGTCGGCGCTAAAGAGCCCGGGGCAGTCTCCGCCAGCGGGGAGGGCCCGAGACGGCGGCGACGGGCGGGAGGCGGCCGCCGCCGGAGAGAGGCAGTCGCCACGGAGCCCGGAGCCGTGCAAGGAGCGGCTGCGCTTCCAGGTAAGGCCTGAGGCGGCCAGGGGATCCCGGGGATGCAGGTGTCTAACTGGGGCCGGGCCCTGTGACTGCTCTGGGCACTCGGAGGTGCGGCACTTCCCTAAGCGCAGGCCACTTCTGTGTTTCCGAAACAGCTAGTGACTGCGGCAGGTGTCTTCCTTCCCGACAGCACAGTCGCATGGGGGTGGCCTGACTCACACTCAGCGGCTGCTCCTCAGGCTGGCCAGGGCGACGCCCTTGGGACATTGTAACCCACACGTTTGCGCTGTAAAGCTCGGGCAGTGGGCGCGCAGGCCAGTCCTGACCGAGCTGTTGGAAGACCTGTGAGTAGACACAGCTGAGCTTCGGAAGGAGCGTCGATTCCCACGGACCCCTCTCTTACCTATTTCCCCACTACTTGTGGCAAAAACCCCTTCGACTGCTGGCATCCTGGTCAGCTTTTCTGACTTCTCCCTTGCAAGCTTCCAAGCTACTGGAAAGCTGGAGCTCCTAAAATGCCTCCTCGTAGGAATTTGCTTTTAAAAAGCATCCCCCACTCAAACCCAATACTGCGAAAGCATTTGGGGTGCTGGTGTTGCTGCCCGAGAGCAGCAGGCTGAACCTTTAAAGGACTGGGGCACGCAGAGGGCAGTTGTGACCCAGCAGAAGAGGAAAGGCACAAGAGGTGGTAGGAAGCCCGAGGGAGTCCGCCGTGGCCTCTTCCACAGCCTTCACAGGCTGGTATTCCTTTTGAGGGGCGGGGCTGGTGGCGGTAGGCTGATTGTGCGAGGACTGAATCCAGAGGCCAGGGCTTTCCAGCGTGGCCATGCACGAGCTGTGTGTGACCTTAGACCAGCCATAACTTTTCTGGACTCAACGCAGTTTCAGAGCATACTGAATGAAGTGCTCCCCAGAGTTCCTTCCAAATCGAAAAGCCTAACTCTAAAAACACGTGTATAACTAGTTACTCACTGGGAGGGAAGCAGGGAAGTTTAGGTAACACGACTTTTGTCCATGTGGAGTATGAATTATGGCTTAAGTACAACTTAGGTTCCTGGCACTACTATTTGGGAATTAACTAGCAGCATAGAGAATGTGATCTTGGGTGGACCCCTTAAAGTTCCTTAGCTGAGGAATCTTAATTTTTCTTTAGCTTAATACCTTTCTTGTGTGCATAATCTAAGATGAGGCTTTATCTTAGAGAAAAAGCCTCCCTAAAGAATCTCAGAGAACTGCTTAACTAGTATGCTCCTACTTACTCATTTATCAGCCAGCGGTATGAACTGAGCTAATCTGGTATATGAACTTTAAGGCCCATGCTTGCTTAATTGCTTGACTAGGCTATTAGCTCACTTAATTACTGAAGAGGCATACCCAAACCTGACCCTGATTTCTTTCATGATCCAGAGTGAAGTTGCCAATTTCAAATATCAGGTGGATCATTCCTAACTTCTGAAATAAAGGATAATTCAGGTGTTATGGTTAAACTGGCATATCCTGTTGTTCAGTTCTTAGAGCAGAAATATGGCTATTACCACTGCAAGGACTGCAACATCCGATGGGAGAGTGCTTACGTGTGGTGTGTACAGGGAACTAACAAGGTAGGAAATACCAGGTAACTGGCATCTTCTTGCTGAAAGTGTTAAGGGGGTTTTGCTTTAAGTTTATTCTCTTTCTTATCACAGGTTTACTTCAAACAGTTTTGCAGAACTTGTCAGAAGTCTTATAACCCTTACCGAGTGGAGGATATCGCCTGTAAAGTAAATCGGATGTTTTGCACTTTTGTCTGACCTGGGCGGTCGTAGATGGTTTTTAGTATAGTTTCTTGAGTATGCTTCCTAAAAAGAGGCCAGGTCCCCAGACCTTTAGGTTTCGACTGGCTTTTGTTAGGAGTGGTTGAAACAATACTCCACTGGGAAAGGAGGCCTTGGTGTTAGGTTCTTTCTGCCCTTGCAAAATGCTCTGGTTAACCTCTTTTAAAACTGTTACCTCACTTGTGAAATGTAAGAATACTTGCCTTACTTGCTAGTCTAATCTATGAGAAAATTAAGAAAAACATTAACATGAGGTAGTCACAGTTGACTTTTATCCAAATGCTTACAAAGCACAATCTCAAAGCAGTTTAAGCACAGGGGTTTAGTTTGTCTTGCCTGAAAGCTCACAGAAGGACAGTTTTAAGATAAAAATAGTCTAGCTTTATGGGGAATTGACTATAATGGTAAGCAAGAAATACGTGAACTAAGCATTGCTAAGCACTTGCTTGCTCACTATTAACTGTGCTAAGGGGCTTAGCTAATCCTTAAGGGGAAAGAAGTGACTGAATTCACCTGTTATCACACGGCTAATGGATTCTGAATTGCCAGTTGAGACAACCTAATCAATGCACTTGACCCAAGTTGGATATTTAGAAGCATTAACACCCTGGGGTGGTGGAGAGAAACTTTGTACTTAGAATCACTTAAATCAGGGCTGGGCAAGTTTCTAAAGGAGGATGCCTTAACTGCTCTGCTCTTGGCTTTCATTGTCAAATTAATTCCTGACTTGTTTGTGTTCTACCCTTCCTCTTAAAAAGTTGTTGCAAAACTTCACAATTCAGAATTGGATCTGATGCAATATGGCAACAGTACAGCATGGTTAAACACTCACTATTCCTAACCCTGTCATTGCTGGGTAGGTGGGGATGTAGAGGGAAAACAAGATGACTACAAGTCCTTGCCTAGAGTGCATTCAATAAGTAGTTGAATGGACTAGAAAAATTATGTTGAAATCCTAGGAAATCACTAAGGGTTTATCTTCTGTACATGCTTTTTTCCCCCCACAGAGTTGTAAACAAACTAAATGTTCCTGCCCAGTAAAACTTCGCCACGTGGATCCTAAACGGCCCCATCGTCAAGATTTGTGCGGGAGATGCAAAGGCAAACGCCTGTCCTGTGACAGCACTTTCAGCTTCAAATACATCATTTAAGTGAAAGTGTTGCTGTGCTGATGGAGCAAGTGAGCTTTTCTGTGCCTCTTCTCTTGCTTCTCAAAATGCTTCGTGAAAGGCAGTGTATTCTGAAAAAGCCTTCCAATAAAGGTATTTGCAACACAGTTTATACATTGCATAAATCTGTCTTTGAAAATAAAGTTTAAAGAGCGGTTGTCTTGTGCTAACAGTCTGGGCCTGTCACTTCACCTTTATGAATGCTCGTTGATGGCACAGAGTGGGCCAGGCTCTGAGTTAGGCTGCAGCCACTTGAAAAACAATTTAGCGGGGCTCGTAGACAAGGTCTACTTTTTGGGCAGCTCTGGAGGGCTGAAGCTGAGAAGCAAGTTGTTAACTGAATAAAAAGCCACCTAGCTGTAATGTTAAGCATTCGGAGAGGTGGAGGCAGAGCCATTTCTTGGTTGTACAAGACCGTTGGAGGTAACCTAGAGTGGGAAATGCTGAGTGGCAGTGATGGGTTGGGTAGGTAAGGGCTTCAGTGTCTGGGTGACTTTAGGAGGTAAGCTACTAGGTGGAGGGAGGCTGGGAAAACTAACCTGACTCGCTAGTCAGTTTCACAAATGGCAAAGTGAGGCTTGGAATAGGGTGGCTGTGGGTAGCTGGCTGCTTTAACACACTGAATAACCATCAAGCAGACCTTGTGCTTCTTCAAAGCTTTTTTTTTTTTTTTTTTTTTTTTTTTTTAAAAGTAAGCCTCGTAAATGTACTTCAAGATGTCAAGTTAGAGGCGTAGGCCTTAGCCTTGGTCTTCACTGACTTCTTGCTAGTCGGGATGCCAGACTCTTTCTACCTGCATCTAGTAGATTCTCATGACTGAGGCCCTACTGCCAGAACAAACACTCCTAGTTGAGGATGGCACTGAGTTTAGAGCCTCAAGTGTATTTAGTGAAATTAAAGTTATACTATTTGTTTAATTACAGAAACCGTATAATTGGAACCAGGTGCTAATTATGCCTCCAGTTCTCTAACATCCCACTTAAGTGAACCCCTTACTACCCTAGGAAGGCCGTAGCACTAAGTTTTAACATCTTGGACACTTGGGTATAGTGAAAGGGGTTAAAAGGGCCCAAAGTGGGTTGTAGGTCTCCATGGAATCTGTATCGATATGGACGGAGATGGTGCATGTAAAATGCAGATTGCACCTGTCCTATCAAAGCACTGTCAGGTGACATTTAGGCACCCCAGTTGTTGCTAATGGAATTGAAGCATGAGAACCTATACTTGGTAGACATGTGGCATCTCATGGAGCTTCCAGTAGAGTGGGCAGATGGCCACTAGTTTTTACATAAATGTAAAACCGAGGTTCTGACCTGTGATAAGATGGGCTTAAGTGCCTCTCCAATAAGGGACATGACTTAAGTCAGCAAAGCCCTGCCTGAAAGAATGACACCTCAGCTGAGTTCCAATTCATATAAGTAGAATAAGGCAAAAATGGGGAGGAGAAATTTTCCAGATTAGGCCAACCTGTGCAAAATCCCCGTGGTAGAAAACTGGGAGGAGGCCACAGGGGGAGAATACTTCTGGAGGACATGCCAGGTGAATCTAGCAGTGCCAGACTAGAGGGATGTTTTGGGCCTTTGTCAGGAGGATGGTCTCTACTGGAGTACAGAGGCTACTCAGACGTTATCAGGGCACACCACAGCCTCAAGCTACTGGGCTCAGGTGGTCCTCCTGTCTCAGCCTCTCAAGTGGCTGCGACTACAGGCACTTCAACAGGCTGCACTAAAAAGTTTTAAAGGTATGGTGGGGATAGTGGGGCATGGTGACACATTCACTTTTAAAGTTTTTGGCTGTACAGTACCTGTAGATAAGGAGACTTGCAGGTACCAGATGAAGTGGTGGCAGGGCTAAAGAGAAATGACAAGAACTGGTGTGGGGAAAGGTGATATGTTATTTTAATAGTTCTAACACGTGCCTGTTGATTTGGTTGGGGGTAGGTACAGGTGTAGGAAACCCATTTGTACTGTTGCCTGCAAGTGATACATAACGTGCTAAATAGCATTTCCTCAATGAATGAATGAATTACACTAATGTACCTGCATTGAATCCTAAGACAAATTTTCACTGGCTTTTAAAGTGCTTACATTGTTCTTTAATATTGCTTGCCATTAATTTTCCTAACACAGCAGCTAAACCTATTTTTTAGTTGAGGAAAGTGAGGGTCAGACTGTTTCACTTAGGGTGGGTGAGCATGCAGATATTCAAAGTGGCACAAAAACATGCCATTCAGATTATGGTGATTACATTCAAGCAATGAAAAGGCACTGCCAAACTCTTTGTGCCTACAATCTAAGACTTGTAAGATGTGAATACATTTTAAGACAGGTTGAGGGAGGTTAGAAGGAAGTACTCCAAGAGGTCTTTGGTATCAAAAGAAGTAACTGCAGTTTTCTTTACATTTCCTACATATTCTAACGGAACCATGGATTACTTTGAAAAATTACGGGGGAAAATGCTTTAAAACACAAATACATGGATTTTATAATGTCTCTCTCCTTTCGTTTAGGTTATGCTACTGTTTTATGTGAGCAGTCTTCACTCATAGGCCTGGATGAGTCTTTTCCAAGAAAGCGTGTCATGATTTCCTAAATTTAAGGTAGGTTATGTGTTTTAACACACTCTAAATTTTACATCACTAAAAGTAGAAAGCACATTTAAAAATACACAAGAAATCCTGTGGTTTTGTTTTAGAAGCAGCATCAAGAAACTGGCAGATTGCTGCTTTTTCTGTTGTCTTACAAACATACTATCTAAAAATGATAAATGTAGTGGGCAAAAGAAAAAGGTATGTAGCAAAAACTGGACTCCAAATGGAACTAAATCAGGTAATAAATGCTAACTTGGGATTCAGAGGATGAGGAGCAGAGAAGTGTAGGCTGGAGGAAAATGCCGTTGCAGAAGGCCATCCTAATGAACTTGTTTGCATTTTGCTTGCTGCAGGTACATTCATTTTTATTATATTATTAATAGACTTAGTTACATATAAACATAAAAAACAAATATCAACTGTTTGAAAGGTTGGTTGGGTAGTCAACTAATTTTGTTCTTTTTTAAGGCAATTCAAGAAGAAAGTAACATCTGAAAGGGTTCTAAATGATGCACACTAGAATCATTCATTCTTTGTTAAAATACAACACAAACCAACAGCTACAATGCTTTTTATTTTTAACAGAAAGGATGTAAGGAGGGTGAGAAAAATAGGGGATAGTAAGGTAGGATGTAAAGTGTGATGTATCTCTGGACCCCATCCCTCTCTGCCTGCCCCACCCCCAAAAGTTTTAAATAATTTAAAGGACACCATTTACAGTACCAGAATACCATCAAAATAATTGTCTTTATCAGGGTCAAAAAATACAGTGATTATGAATGAGCAGTGACCAGTTATGGAATTTTACTGGAAACGTAACTGTGGTCAGCAGTCCAATGGTGTGCACAATGCCTTCAATTAATGCACTTGAGCATACGTAATTACATTTCTGGCAGGGTCCACACCAAGAAAAGGTAAAGCTAAGCATTTCATCTCTACATTCTAAACTCTGGAATCACAGAGCCCAGTTTAAAAGAAAAGTCACAGTGGATAAGAGATGTATATAAAAAATACAAGGTGTTTCTTTCAATCAGGAGTTGTGGGACTACATTTTTTTTTTTTCCTTTTCTTACAAAATGCTATTTAAAAAAGGATAGAGACTCCAGTTCATGTTATACTACAGACTTAGACAGTGAATAAGTATATTGCATGTTTTGGTAGTCTTCAGGCTTCCTTTCATTTCCCCTAGCCCCAAGTTTCTTTAGGGTAAAATATGTGAGTCCTGAATAAACACAGAAAAGTGCATTTGCAGCTCTTTTCTTGAATTCTGCAGACTTCAAAGCCTGCAAGTCATAAATTCCATCATCAATGACCACATTTTTTTCTTTAGCTTTGTACACCTATTCTTGTATAATAACAGTGCATGGCACAAATGTACAAGAAAATACTGGTTTTAGTCTATACAGTTTCTATATGGAGCAAAATAAGTTAACTTTTCTAATGAGAATAGCTGACGGGCAGCATACATCTTTATTTTACATTTTAAAGTCTCTGCAGGCATCTACTTTGGTTAGTTATCAACAATCGTAACATAAGCACTGATCAGAGAACTGAGCAGCATTCCAATAATGTTAACAGATATATTATTTCTTTTTGAAATACTGGGAAAGCCCAGCTTTAAAATATTATTAAAATGTTCTAACATTTACATACTATGAAGAGTTAGATCTAATAAAATAACATTTCTTCAAAAATAATCTTGCAGTGCTCTTTTAGGCATGCTCTGAGACGTTATCACCAAACATCCATACCTTGAAAATATGACTATCACATAACCACACATCCCAACTCACACACACATAATTCCTTATACAGACCAAAAAACAAACCCCAAATCCTTATCCCACATATCGAAAAATCAATGGTTTTTGCAAATGAGTCTTTATGTGTATAGCTGACTGCATGTTCATGTGGAGGATGAAGCATCAATTGTAGATTAGGTTTACCACTGCTAGAAATCCAAGCAGCTTTGCAGGTCTTCAGCTAAAATGAAACAGCCTTGATTTCAGCCTCATTTCACCTGCTTTCAGATGGTTCAGTATTGGAGGCCATTATTGCAAACATTCTTGAAATTCTTTTCTTTCCCCAGAAAGTAATGTATTTGTAGGCATCACTTTTAGCCCTTTTCTTTTCACGTAGGTTAAGTAATTTAAAAATTCCTTCTTCATACAGTTGTTGTGGGAGATATTGGCAGCTGTTAAAATACCAGATTTTTTTTCTTTCAGATCTCTGTTTTTGATACAGTTTGACATTAGTTACACTAAAAAGTAGATGCTGCCAGAAAGTTATCAATGAATGCAAGGGTCCATAAAAGGTGCTTGGTTAATATTCTTCATCATCTTCAGTTTAGTTTCTTTACTAAAGGCCTGAAGTGTCTCAGAATCCAGTGCTCACCATATTTCCCATAGGTTTGGCCTGTGCTAGAAGCTGGTATGATTGCACCATGCGTAGAGACTCTCTTATTTCCAGATTAAGTTCCATCAGTTTGTAGTTGGCTTCTGACATGTCCAGGTTAGAGCCTATAACTGCAAAGCTTCCTGTCTGGCCCAGCGTCTGATGATGGAAATATATATGTAACAGTGTCTGCACAGGGTCATCTTCACAACTGCCGAAGATATCACTGGGCCAGAGAGATCTGAAAATACACAATACTTTTTCAGTTCCCAGGCAATTATTAAAATTAGCTCGGTTTAAGTTAAATACCTATAACAATAACATTTTCCTGTGAGTAACAGATGATCTGTTTTAATATTTGAGCAAATATTACTCAAAGTACCACCTGAAAGTGAAAAGAAATCTAAAATTGGTATCATTTCAGTGGCAACTGTTAAAAATACTCATGTTTTCCTTCCACAGACATGATATAGAAATAGCAAATTGAAAATGAAAACCTAGTATTACTGAACTTCCAGTCTAATTAAAAAGCATCACCTTTAAATCCCGTCACATTTTACCTGAAAGCTTTGACTTGTGCTACAGCTGATATAAATTCCTTATTTTTCAAAGTTTCAATTAAAGAATGAATGGCAGTTTCTATAGTAGTTTGTGCAGCTTTGGAAATGTCAATTTCTTCGTTTTCTGAAGCAGACTCAGCTTCTTTGAGGATACTTTCCAATTGGGCAAGTTCCTCTGACATGTTGATGACCTAAAACAAATGCATCTTTGAGGATCTATTCGTATGTTTGGTAACAAAAACATTTAGTTGGCTACAAGGATATACCTGATGGTAGCAGCACTGTTTCTTTTATTTTAAAGATTATTTAAAAATATTTACCTTGGAAGAAAGGGCAATTATTATTTCAAGTTCTCCATTCTGTAGGAGCAAATAAATTCCACCAAGTAGTAGTCTTGAAATGTTCTTGATAAAGCGATAAGTTGTAATAAATAAATGTCTATATTGGTTTTAATATTACTACATTTTGGATAGTAAAAATACATTTACTGTTATGGGGGAGCATGAAAACAATTTGACAGTAAAGTCTTTAGATTTTAAAATACGATTTACCCAGGGCATTTTTATATAAATATACATATATATTTCTTTTTACAGATTTAATGACCTTAAGAAATTAAATCATTTCCCAAGTGATAGTTTTATTACCAGCAGATAACAAGGGGGGGAAAAAGACTAAAGTCAGCATCTTCGAGGATATGTATTGATTTTCAACATTCAAAGTGTTTTTTAACAGGTTTATTCTGTGTACATTAATAGAACTCTATGGGCCAGGCATGGTGGCTCATGCCTGAAATCACAGCACTTTGGGAGGCCAAGGTAGTGGATCACCTGAGGTCAGGAGTTGGAGACCAGCCTGGCCCACAGGTGAAACCTGTCTCTACTAAAAATACAAAAAAATTAGCTGGGCGTGGTGGTGCACACTGGTAGTCCCAGCTACTTGGGAGGCTGAAGCAGAACTGCTTGAACCCGGGAGGCAGTGAGTTGAGATCGTGCCATTGCACTCCAGCCTGGGCAACAGAGGGAGACTCCATCTCAAAAAAGAGAACTATAGAAATAAAAAATGTTGGGGGGGCGGGGTTGATAATATAGTTTATGTCTTTATTGAACTGATGTGCTTTATTTGACTATTTTCTGAGACAGGGTCTGGCTATGTCACCTATGCTAGAGTGAGTGTTACAATCACAGCTCACTGCAGCTTCTAATTCCTGGGCTCAAGTGATCTTCCCAGCTCAGCTTCCCAAGTCACTAGGACTATAGGTATGTGCCACCATCCCCGCTTTTACTTGACTTTTTATTACGGATGATCTGTTTCCGCTATGGAAACCTTTGGTTTTGAGCCTTTTACGAGTGCTGGATATATGCTGTCTTATTTACTTATAGGTCCTGACAGCATAACATTAAAAAACAAAGTATTCCTTAACTGGAAAAAAAAAAAAAATCACTCTAAGTGACTTTTGACTTAAGCTATTCTAACAAGAAATATATGTATATTTTAAAAACTTTCTAGAATCGGTTACTGATGCCTAGTACAACTGAATATTTACCTCTGCTTCATTTTTTATTGTATTTACTTGGTTTATAAGTTTACAGTAGGCCTGGAACAGAAGCAGCAGTTGAAAATGCAATTTGTATAATCTTCGGCAGAGCTCCAATTCCTAGAAATAAATAACATTACATTAAATTTAGGTGTTATGTTCTAGACAGCATATTTCCAATGAAAATTTATAGTTAATGTTAAAATTGTCTTGTTTATTTTTCTGCAGTAAGCAAGTTAATATGGTGTGAAGCTGATGAAAGGCAGGTGAAATATGCTTTAAAGACTAAGATTAAAATAATAAAGATCACTGCTAGTTACATAATTCAGTTTTAGAGTTAAGCACATTTTTACATTCTACAAATAGACTGTTACAGCAGGCAATTAACAGGATACTTTAAAAAGGATCAATTAGAACTTAAAACTTTAAATTCGTAATTAAAATAATCTACAAATGCATAGACTTTTGCCCTCATTGAGATGTAGCTCTCACTGCATTTATCAACAAGCGCATGATAAAGCAGGGTGAAACCGGATAACCTCTTACCTAAAAAGTAAGAAAAGCTTGTCTTTAAAGTGAGGTCATTTTTCTAAAGAAAACCACTTGGTAATCTCATTGAAATGAAACTGTGAACTTAACATGCGTGATGTGTGAGCCAAGCACGGTGGCCCATACTTGTAATCCTAGCACTTTGGGGGCAGATCACTTGAGCTCAGGAGTTCAAAACCAGCCTGGCCAACGTGGTGAAACCCCATATCTACTAACAATACAAAAAAATTAGGCGGGCATGGTGGTGGGCACCTATAATCCCAGCTACTGGGGAGGCTGAGACAGGAGAATCGCTTGAACCCAGGAGGCAGGGGTTGCAGGGAGCCAAGATCGTGCCTCTGCTCTCCAGCCTGAGCCACAGAGGGAAACTCCATCTCAAAAAAAAAACAAAAACAAAAAACATATGCACTTTGATTTTTAAAATTAAGAAATTTAAAAGGAGCTATGTTAGTTATAGATGTAAGAAAAAAGGTGACTGCTAATTTTATGTATTTCAACATCTCACTATTTTAATAGAACCAACATTTCATGGATTAGGGCTTTGCAAAACTGAAGCACGTACTACTTGCAGTCCATGACAAAACATAGCTAGGTCACAAATGGACAAATGGCAGATGAAAACCAGTTTGTCTGGCAAGGGTGAGTAGTCTATAAATCAAGACAGGTCACTTACTGCTAGTATTTCCATTTGCTAAGCAAGAAGGTGATCAGGTCACAAAAAATACAAAGGAAGAAAAAGACCAAGAATTAGTGTAAGAAATCATTTTAACTAAGGTCACAGATGTTCCAGGCAAACTGAAGAACATATATTTATACCCCCCAAAAAACTTTATGAAGTTATTTCCAGAATAAAAGCTTTCAGTCATTTACTGCAGCAATTCAGGGTATTTTTAAACACTTTGTCAAAGAATAATTAAATGATATTTAGGCTATGACTTCTGTGTAAAAGCTACAATGGCTAAAACTGTACTATAGTGGTCTTGGGAAATGTTGCTATCCAGGTTTAAAAAAGAAAACAAAACCCAACTGTAATAAAACTTCCATTTGTAAACTAGAAAACTTATGATTAGAAAATAAGAAATTAATTACCATTACAACTAAAAAGAATTGGCTTATAATCATACATAATAAATACTTACCCATCACCCTCAAAAGATTATCTCTAGGGTGGCTCATTCCAGGCTTCCTATCCTATACTGTCTAATTAGGTCCTACTTTGCCATAATTGGTGCTGAACCACAGGGTGGAATATCAAAAGCAGATGTGTGTTCTAAATTGCATTCCTAATGTAGTTCAGTAAGTTTCAGAAACTTCACCTAACTAGGTTTGAATCAACATAATGTATGTAAAACACATAGTGAAAAATCTAATTTATGGACTGTCTTAAAAACTAGATGAAAATATGTACAGCAACTTGGATCTGGTCTCATTAAGAGGAGAATGACTCTTAATTAAAACAGCAATTGTTATGCTGTAAATGTACCTTCTAAAAGTCATTCTTAAGCCTGCTTTTCTAAATAGTTTCCTGTGAAGGACCGTTTCCATAATGT